CAACCTCACACACCTATCCTCACACACCAACCTCACACAACAACATCACACACCATCCTGACACACAAATTTCACACACCATCCTCACACACCATCCTCACACACCAACCTCACACACCATCCTCACACACCATCCTCACACACCAACCTCACACACCATCTTCACACACTAGTCTCAAACACCATCCTCACACACCAACCTCACACACCATCCTCACACACCAACCTCACACAACAACCTCACACACCAGCCTCACACACCAGCCTCACACACCAGCCTCACACACAAGCCTCACACACCATCCTCACCCATCTACCTCACACACCATCCTCACACACCATCCTCACACACCATCCTCACACACCAACCTCACACACCATCCTCACACACCAACCTCACACAACAACCTCACACACCATCCTCACACACAAACTTCACACACCATCCTCACACACCAGCCTCACACACCATCTTCACACACCAACCTCACACACCATTCTCACACACCAACCTCACACACCAATCTCACACACCAGCCTTACACACCAACCTCATACACTATCCTCACACACTAGTCTCAAACACCATTCTCACACACCAGCCTCACACACCAACCTCACACACCATCTTCACACACTAGTCTCAAACACCATCCTCACACACCAACCTCACACACCATCCTCACACACCAGCCTCATACTCCGACCGACTCCTACACTCTGCTTGTTAGAATTGCATGGCACAAGCAGACGGACACAAGCTGCAACGCAAGGACACGAAGGCACACGATCAATTAACTGCATTAAATAATTCTGCCATGTTTGACTTCTGCTGACATGTATGTCGGTCTATGATGGATAATTATTATTAATCATCTTTGTCTCTCATTTCAACACGTTCTACAGGGTTAACATTCGCGTTTAAGAGACTTAGAGCTTAACTCTACAATTCAAGAAAAATTAAGAACGTAAAATATTTTCGACAATTTGCAATTCGGAGTCAGGATGGATGAAATTATGGATGCAACTAAACGACAGGTTGCATGACATTTCCTGTGCACACATTTTAATGTTCTCATAGTGATCAACTATGTATGTATGTGTGTGATATGTGTGTATATGTGTGTGTGTATGTGTGTGTTTGTTGTGTGTTTGCATCTGTGTGTGTGTATGTGTGTATATATGTATGTGTGTTTGCATGTATGTATGTATTTAAGGGTGTTGATGTGATATTTAAAAAGATCAAAATACCCCATAATTACTGCGTTGTTCATACGATCTTTGTTCATACGTTCATTTGTTTGTTTGTTCATTCGTTCATTTGTTTGTTTTTTTTGTTTGTTTATTCGTTCGTTCGTTTGTTTGAAGGTTATGACCAATTAAATGGAATTGAAAGCATTTGCTAGCGATCATTAGAGACAGCACGGATGGTGGGGGGCAGCTTGGTGATGATGATGATAAATGATGATGATGATCTCATTTGTCTGACTGGGGAGAACAACAAAGTGGTGGTGGAAGCCCTGATTATGTTATCAGAAACATGACGACGACGATGACGACGATGATGGTGACTTGAAATGATGATGGCGTCTCAGTCATGACGAAAATGGTGACGCTGATGATGCCATGCTATTTCATTTCTTGGGCGCTGATAAAGATACAAACGTTTGAGTTGAAACGTTAGTCACATTGAAGATCAAAAATATGGAATCTATTTAAAATAAGCCGACGTAATCACACGCAGCAAGCAGTAAACGAAACGAAACGAAACGAAACGAGAGCCGCGTCAGAAATGCGTACGTGTACGAACGAGCTGCAATTATAACTTTCATCCTGCATATCTTTTGACTAATCTATCAGCAAATATGATCTAACTAATAACCCGTGCAAACATCACGTGCCACGGCACTTGATTGCATAACGCGGGCCTCATTAATGATGCTCTCATCCATTCATTTCTTCTTGCCTCCTTCCTTCTCTCATTCTTCCAGTAATTTGTTTTTTCTTTCTGTCATTCAATCTAACGTACACTTGATGTTCTGTTTTTGTTTCGTTAGTGCTTGTGGTGATGTAATTGGAGGGATGTGATGACGTGGGTGTGTGGTGTGGTACGGTGTGGTAGGATGTGGTGTGGTGTGGTGGGTGTGGTGGGATGTGGTGGGTTGTGGTGGGTGTGGTGGGATGTGGTGGGTGTGGTGGGATGTGGTGGGTTGTGGTGGGTGTGGTGGGATGTGGTGGGTTGTGGTGAGATGTGGTGGGTTGTGGTGAGATGTGGTGGGTTGTGGTGAGATGTGATGACCTGTGTGTGGTGTAGTGTGGTGGGATGTGGTGAGATGTGATCTAGTTTGATTGGACGTGATGTGGTGATGCAATATAATTAGGTACGTTCATCAAAAAAAATGTTTATTCAGAGGAGAGCTTACTTGACTGCAGATTCGATGGCTTTCAATCCCATGCAACCTATCTTTGAAGATTTTTTTGAAAACTTCTTCGAGAAAAACTGAAACAAATTTTTGGTGTTCTCATTACGTTTCAAAATCACAGGCAATCTTATGAATCATTTAAAATTAAATTTAAAAATGTTTTTTTTATAGAAAAACTTACCAAGTAATAAAATAATTACAATTTCAATTAATAAGCAGTAAAGTGTTTATGTAATACTTTAACAGTTAGCAGTTAGTTAACTTCAATCACCATTCCAGCTTTATTATCGATTCTCTTCAAAAATTCTCAGCTGTCTATATTTCAAACATAAATTTACAAAAAATGTCAAATAAATAAGAATTTCTGACATGTGTGTTTATTTATTTGCTGTATGATCTCAAAATGTATACACACGCACACACTTAAACACACACATACTTATACACGCACACACACAGAAGCGTAGAGACTCCACCACCGACATTCAATAACACAGAGCATCGATCGCTGCTTTCGGTGATCTGCAGAAAGATGGACACAACAAAAACTCACCAGACACTGCTGCAATCATTCAACCACCGCAACCATTACACACGGGGGCACATGAGGATATTCGGTGAGGTTTAGCACTGTCTCTGCACTACACAAACAGTAGAGGGCCTGAAACATGGTCCCACATCGAATGGAGGTCTCAATGTAGGAAAGGTGAGAAGGAAGAGAGAGGAAGAGAGAGAGAGAGATAAGGAGGGAGCGCGGAAAGCATCAGATGCAGGTGGAAAACAGGTCCTTCAGACTTTGGCGAACATTCTAAATAATGATTCACGAAATGCACAACAATTTTCCAAATTTAACGATGTTGTTAAATGAATAATAAAATTAAAAAAGATGATTTAGTCGTAGTCGTTCCGCGGATAAAATCGTTAGAATGACGTCAGCGAAAGTGCCACTCCATTGAAGGTTGCATTTAGTCGGCACACGAATTCAAAATATCGGCAAATAAAACAAAAAGACATGATCGTTATTTCCACATCAGCAATGTAAAAGAATGTGGCGTGTCTGACATTCTCGACCACTTAAAGACGATCAACTTCCGGACAATATCCTGTTTTCCTTTGTTTCGTAAAATGGTTCTAATGTGAAATCTGACAATGATCAATCGTCACACACGAAGTTTCTGATGCGATCGTCAGTCAGTGTAACTTCCTGGCCGGAGTTTGTTCGCACAGGAGAGAGAGAGTCGACATTTGACAGCAGCTGATGATAGGCCATAGAACACCTATAAAAGAAGAGGATGGCAAAAGTAGTTTATTACACTTCAAACTTGATTTTTTTAAGATATTGGTCAAGGATGAGGTTCTCTTATTTCACAAACTCTATTACATTGATAATGGTAAAGGTTGCCGAAAAAAGCTTTTATGTAAATGTATATATGAAAAATGCAGTCTAAATAAATTAGAAATTTTTTTATTAATCTGAATAAACTGAACAATATCGATGAAATAATCGTTCGAAAAATTGAAAACTTAGTTACAAACTCAACAATGTGAAAAATGCGGTGATATTTCTTAATAACTGTATATATATATATATATATATATATGTATGTATATATATATATATGTATGTATATATATATTTATATATATATATATATGTATGTATGTATGTATGTTGGTAATAGACCATACTTTTTACAATATTCTATAAATTCTACCGAATGTT